ACAGCTGGGCCTGTCTGTCTTTCCACCTCCTTTGAGCGCGGAGCAGGCTGTGAAGGTGACGCGCGGGTCAAGCATATACCGTAGGGGTCCCAAGCAGAACAGGGCTGGCAGCTCCAATTGCAAACGGTGGTGAGGGGAGGCCTCAGTGATGAGGTGACAAGGTGGGAGCGAGCCGTAAGCAGCGTTCAGCCTGGGTAATCCCGCCTCCTTCCAGCCTGGTGCAAACACCCCTTCTTTCGGGAAGTTCCCCTGGCTGCTCTGCTGTACCCTGATGCCCACGCTTTTCCTGGGGTGTCCATCACCCTGCACAGGGTCAGGCTTGCGTCTTCTTTCCTGTGGGACTGGGCCGTCCTTCAGGTGGACCCCATATCTCCTTAGACTACAGTGTTTCCCTCTGTTTACTGTGTCCCCAGCCTCAGTAGGTGTCCTACAGGTGGTCTGGAGCATTATAGGTGAGCAGTGGGTGAAGGAAGGGGTGGGAATGCCTGTCCTCAGTAGGAGGACTCCTGATGCCAGGAACTTCACCAGCTCGGCTTCACCCGTCCTGTGTCCAGCCCCAGGTTGTCCAACATATGAATGACTACCGATTCCAACCCGCGTCTCCTGCTCAGTTTCCCTGACTGTGAGGAGGCACCGGAGGTACAGAGGGCACCACGGTGCTCTCCGTGACGCCTCTCTCTGGCAGAGTCACCTGGACCTGTCACATGAAGGCTGAGGGCTGCGGCGGTGAGTGCCGGAAAAGCAGAGCACCTCACCTGCAGGGCTCCGTTAGCCAGAGCAGTCGCAGGTGAGCCCAGGTCCACCCTCCTCTCCTTGCACGCAGGGAGGGAAGCCAACAGCTCTGAGGAAGGGAAGACGTCACTGTGAGGGTTTGAGCGGGGGAAATGGCACACCATGGCCTCTGGGCTAACAAGTGCCTGGGACCCTGTTACGCCAGCTCCACCTCTTGCTTGTTCCCTGCTCCCCTCACCCTCCGTCTGACTGAAAGGGCCTATGCTCACGACAGAGCTGCACCTCACCGGCAACCACCCGTTTCCTCCTGCAGAGCCTCTGTCCCGGCCCGCAGGCTCTCAGCTCTGCACAGCTGGGATGGTCTCTGGGGTGAGGAAGATAGATGTCTCGTCACTGGGTGCAAAGTCCTGCTGGTTTACACTGGCGGTGCTGGCGCTGTGGCTGGAGGCAGTGAGGGGCTTTAGGGGCTGCCAGGTTGACCATGTTCTTCGAATACCACTGGCTGGTTCTGCCCACAAATTTCTGTTTGTGTTGTTTCCACCAGGAGAGGGTCTCCCGCCAGGTTAATTCCCACCCTTCCTGTCATGCTCATCCATTTGGGACAATCAGGGAGGCCATAGGTAGGCACACAGAGCTTCACATACAAGCCCCAGGTTCCAGGTATCCGGCCAGGAGAATGGCGCTCATGGGATGCGGCCCTGCAGCGCTGCCTGGCCGTCCCTCTTGGGGGTGCATGTGTACCAACAGACCGTCCAGCAGCACCAGAAGGGCACGGTACCTGGTGCCAAGTCCATACGCCTGGGTCTCTAGACTGTCACCAAGGGTGCCACTGCCACCTGACCCAGACCTGGAAGGAGCCAGAGGACATCGGGCCGAACAAGGGGACTAGGCCTGAGAGCTGGACAGCAGGAGGCCCACTCAGGCTGGCAGCACAAGCAAGGTGAGCTGGCGGCCGAAGGGCCCAGTCCCATAGGCACCTCCAGTTGCTGATTGCATGGCTCTCAGGAGGCCGTGAAGCACAACGTTCAACGTTTCTTTCTTTTTTCTTTCTTTCTTTGTTTTTTGCTTTTGTGGGGGTGAGTTGGCTTGGGTTCAAATCTCACCTCTGTTACTTCCTTTTGACTGACCACTTTTTTCTCAGTGAGTCTTGGTTTTCTTATCTGTAGAATGGGTTTCCGTGCCTGACTGTTGGAGGATGAGTAAAACGGGTGGGAGCGGTCACTCCCTGAGTGGTGGGAATTACCATTGCCTGGCTGTCTAACACTGTCCCCCTTGGCGTGAGCCAGCTGTCCAGGGGACATGGAACCTTTCTATGGCACCGTTATGTTCTTCCAGAAAACCTGCAGTGGGAGATCGTTTTAATGAAACATAAGTGTTCTTGAAGGATATCTGTTGTCCCATCCAAGGACATCTGGAGCCTTGAGAGCTTTTTGTCCTGGCATCTCTAGGAGTTCGTGAAATCCACATTCCTGTCGTTACAGGGCCAAAATCAGTGAAAGCTCTTGTGAAGGAAGCTGTAGCATCCTGTGCAGTCCCAGCAGCGTTTTACCACCAGGGGGCGCTGCCCAGCCGGACTCTGCCTCTCTTCTCAAGAAGACGGAGAGAAGGCCGAATTCCCGCGGGAGAGAGGCAGGTTTGGCCCCTAGGCCAAGGGGTGTGGACCTTAAAGGCCAGCAACCCGGCCGGCTGGGAACGGCAACAACAGTGACCTCTCCCATCTGGGCTGTTTACAGTTTTTTGCTTGTTCACGCACCCTAATGACCAAGGAAGCTCAGAGAGGGTGTCTTTGTGGGGGGCAGGCCGCTCAGGACTACCTAGCTGGTAAGCAGCAAAGTGAAAGTCTCTTTTAGGGTTGGGCCAACTTTAAGTGCTCACATTTGTCCAGTGAGAAAGGTAGCAAGGCGAGGGAGGGAGCCCTGCTGGACCTCCACCCTTCACGGCTGAGGTTCCTACCTAGTCCTTTCCTCCCACCCCACGGGAAGTCACTGCCTTCTCCCCATTCGGGGAGGGTTAGGACAGGGCTTGGGATCAGCCTGCGTGGAGCCCTTGGCACTCAACCAAGATGTGATTTTCCTGAGCGCAGCCTGGACCCTTTAGGAACAGTATTCAGTCCTGAGAAAGCTTCTTACAGGCTCCGAATAGCCACAGGAGCCCCAGTCTACAACTGCTCCCTGAATCTGGTGCAGATCCTGGGACACAGGTAGCCTGGACATTGGCGCTGACCCAGGATGCCTTGGGTCACCATACAGTGACGCTAGATACCCTTATGAGCCCTGTATGTGCAGCCTCAGTTAAACCTCACGGTAGCCCCCAGAAGAGCATGGCTATTGTCTCCATCTTACAGAAAACACTGAGGCTCACAGCGATTAACAGGTCTGGAAAGAAGGGCTTGACTTTCTTCTCCGTGTCTGCCACTGACCAGCTGGATGAGCAAGGACTGGGGCAGCTGGAGTCTTGTCCTTTGTTTGAGACAGAGTCTCTAGACAGAGGTATGCAAAGGACACGATTGTCTTTTTCAAAGGTTTGCTGGGCACCAACTCCTGGGGACAGGGAAGAGGGAAAGTGCCCGCATTTCCAGAGCTCACCCTGTCAGTCCAGCAGGTGTGCAGTGCAGGTGAGCTGCAGCTGCAGCGGCAAGCAAAGGCTTACAGGAGGCAGCCACAGAGGAGCCTCTTATCGATGTGACGGGGGTGCGCGTGCTGCCGAGGGGAGGTAGTCGGCCTGGGAGCAAGGCCAGGACACTGGGGTCCTGGGCTGGGGAAGCAGCACGGGACCAACGGCTCCTCCTTAGGACACTGGTCTTCAGGACAGAGATGGGGTGCAGGGAGATGTGGATAGCCAGGGAAGAGGTTCCCCAAGGAGCACATGGTGACCCCTTCTGCATTTATGCCGAGAGAGCACACCAACAGGTGTGTGTGTGTGTGTGTGTGTGTGTGTGTGTGTGTGTGAAGCCTCATGATAAAGTCCTGTTACATTTGTGATCTCTTTTTTCTTTCCCAATTACTGTGAGAAGTTGGTGGGGCAGGATTATCATCCTCAAAGACAGAAAGCAGCTCCCACAAAATGAACTGCTTTGCTTAGTCATGGGGCTTGATAGTTCAAAGGTCAAGGCCAATCCAGGCCCCTGGCCTAGCTCCACATTCCCGCCTTGGGACCTTCTGCCAGCCCCTCGGCAGACTTCTCAGGACCTGTGTGCTGCAGTGGCACATCTGCCCCGTCCTGAGCCCTGGGCGCTCCTCTCTGAGCGTGAGCCCCTCATTTTCCACCAGAGCTTACGGCCAGGCTCAAGGGTTCCAGCCTTGGGGCTTTTAGTGCCCATCTGCCTCTAGGGGGAAGTGCCCAGGAGAAAGGACCACAAGAGAGGCCCTGTGCTGGCCTGAGGCTCCTTTGCAGCATCTCCCAGGAGATGGCAGGGGACTGGGATTCTGGGAATCGGCCTGTGCCCCTTGCCAGGCACGAAGCCCTTGCAAGGGCCGAGTCCTGCACGCATAGCTGCTCAGTGAATCTTCCTGACACTTCAGCAGGAAGGTGTGACGGCCACCCTTGCTCTCCTGGGGGAGAGGACGCCACGGAGAGACTGAGTGACATCCCCAAGGTCGCTCAGTAAGTGGCAGAGCTGGGGTTTGAACCCAGGAAACCTGCCTGGGGAAGCTGTTCTGCCTCGGTTATCAATAAGGATCAGCACAGCTACCACTGAACTGGCACCTTTCCCTGTCTGGTGCTTTCAGTCAGCAAGGCTGTGACAGGCAGATTAGTTCTCTGAATTTCTCATCTCACAGGTAAATAAATGGGGCCTGGCAGGGCGCCCGGGGTGAGCCGACTTCAGATTGTCACAGATGCTATCTGTGCAGCAGTTGACTCCAGTGTCACCTTGGGAAAGTATATTGCTTTGGAGCCTCAGTTTCCCCCTCCTCCTGCAAGCTGGATGTGAGGGTCGCTGGCAACTCTGGAGCCCTTCCTGTCCCCCTTCCTGTCTCCCTAGCCGCCCCGCCGATCTCTCTCGACTTTGGCGAGTCTGGGCAGGAGGCAGCCAAGGTGCTGGGTGGGGACAGTCAGCGCCGCTTCTTGTCGCCCAGCGGGGAGGGACCCCGCCGAGCTTTTGGAGGGGGCAGAGGACCCAGCAGCCACGTGCTCGGGCGGTTGTGCAGGGAGCCGACTGTCCTCCCGGGAGAGCGAAGCCCCCGACTTGAGTAGGGGGCGGGGAGGGAGCGCGGGAGGAGGCAGGGGGTGGGGGCAGGGGGAGGCAAGGAGCACGCGGACAAAGGAGGCGGCCGGCAGCCCAGCTGTTTTGAAAAATGCTTCCTGTTTCTTTAAAGGCGCTCGCAGCGGCTCGGGCGGCCGGGCTGGGGAGGCGGTGGCGGCGGGAGCTGCCTCCTCTCCGGGCGGCGGCGCTGACTGATCTCGCCAACCGGGCTTCTGTGTAAACTGAGGCTAAACAAACACAGATGGAGCGCAGCGGGCGTGCTGCAGAAATGCTGGCGAGGCGGCCGCGACTTCAGATGACACTCTGAGCGCTGGGGACGCACAGCCCGCGGCTCTGCGCGGAGCCCGGGGCGCAGCTGCCCGGGGCGAGGGGAGCGGCGGGGAGGGAAAGGGCGAGCTGGGGACGCCATGAAGCCCCTGCCGGCGCTCGAGGACCGCTCGTGGAAGCCCGTGTGCGTGCAGGAGCTGCACGGCCTCAAGAAGCTCAGGCGGAAAGGCAAGGAGCCGGCGCGGCGCGCGAACGGCTATAAAACTTTCCGATTAGACTTGGAAGCTCCCGAGCCCGGCGCCACCGCCACCGCCACCAACGGGCTGCGGGACAGGACCCAGCGGCTGCAGCCGGCCCCGGCCCTAGTGCCAGCCCCAGGGGTGCGGGCAGCTCCCCCAGCTGCGGGC